ACGCTGAGGGATTTGGAGTAATAATACACACGTAGGATATCTTGATAGCGTATACGGTAGCAGCAGTAGCACCATCAGCATGAGGCGACAGTAGCATCAGCAGCATCATGAGGCAACAGTAGCAGGAGCATCATGAGGCAGCAGTAGCAGCAACAGCATGAGGCAGTAGCAACAGCATGAGGCAACAGAAGTATCATCAAATTTCTTCGTAATGTTCAGATTATTTTTCACAGATTTATGGCAAAAAACAAATTCTCACTCTGCTTAATTGGCAGAAACCACCCTTGTCGGATAGGCCAAACTCGACGGTTTGGTTTATTCGGCATATGTATGTGTTTATATATATATATATATATATATATATATATATATATATATATATATATATATATATATATATATAATATATAATATATATATAATATCTAGTGCCGAACAGGTAAAACTGGTCAATTAGCAAGAACTCATTTAAAATTAAGTCAATTCTAAAATTTTCTCTTATACGTTTAAGTATTTTTTTTCATTTATGTTAACGTATAAATTAATAATTTTGTACCAAAAGAACGTTAGAAAACTTACCTAACCATATAATAACAAACGCAATTTAATTTAGCCTAATCCAGCTAAATATTTTTTAGATAAGTTTACAATAATTTAATAATAAACAAACACAATGAAATATATTTAAATATAGTTAGGTTCAGAAAGATTTTTGCGAAATTATTGCATACACACATTTTCCCTTGCCTTATCCGGCGAGAAGTCCGTTGCTATTTAAACCAAAATAGCAAGTTTTACCTATTCAGCACTACATTATGTATATTTAACACGTCAGCTTTTCCCACCGAGGCGGGACGACCCAAAAAGAAAGTAAAAACATTCATTATTCAACACTTTCACCATTACTCGCATATAATCACTGTCTGCAGAGGCGCTCAGATACGACAGTTCAGATGTCCCTCCAAACTGCCAATATCCCAAGCTCCTCCTTTAAAGTGCAGGCACTGTACTTCCCATTTCCAGGACTCAAGTCCGGCTAACCGGTTTCCCTGAATCCCTTCACAAAATATTACCCTGCTCACACTCAAACAGCTCGTCTGGACCCAAAAATCATTCGTCTCCATTCATTTCTATCTCACACGCTCACGCACGCCTGTTGAAAATCCAAGCCCTTCGCACACAAAACCTCTTTTATATAAACCAAACGGGCGCGTTTGGCCTAAAAAAAAAAAAAAAAGGCATTTTCTGCCTTATGTGCAGAGTCAAAATTTGCTTTTGCTATAGCTGCAAAATTCAATTCGAGTATAACGAAAAAATATATAAAACTGATTTTAAGTAACATATGTAAACTGACCTATGAGAATATATATATATATATATATATATATATATATATATATATATATATATATATATATATTTTTTTTTTTTTTTTTTCAACAAGTCGGCCGTCTCCCACCGAGGCAGGGTGACCCAAAAAAGAAAGAAAATCCCCAAAAAGAAAATACTTTCATCATTCAACGCTTTCACCACACTCGCACATTATCACTGTTTTTGCAGAGGTGCTCAGAATACAACAGTCTAGAAGCATACACATATAAAGATACACAACATATCCCTCCAAACTGCCAATATCCCAAACCCCTCCTTTAAAGTGCAGGCATTGTACTTCCCATTTCCAGGACTCAAGTCCGACTATATGAAAATAACCGGTTTCCCTGAATCCCTTCACTAAATATTACCCTGCTCACACTCCAACAGATCGTCAGGTCCCAAGTACCATTCGTCTCCATTCACTCCTATCTAACACGCTCACGCACGCTTGCTGGAAGTCCAAGCCCCTTACCCACAAAACCACTGGGGGGGGGGGTAGAAATCTTTAGCTCAAGCACTTTCACACTTCTCAGTTCGTCATCAGGAGCTGTGCACTGTTGCAAGGGAGCAACCAAAGCAGGGAGAGCGATCTCAGAGTAGCGTAGGTGTCACCGGCCACGGTTACCCTTAGACTGGGTTGGTGGTCGGTGCCAACCCAACCCTACTGTCATCCCCCTTCCCTCCATATGAGGTAGGAGGGTTTCTGAGATGTCAAGTATGAAATTATCAGATATAAAAAGCCAGCCCTAAGCTTTTTCTAATCGTTTATAACCGGTCATGTGGTTTGAGAAAAGTTTCTCGTTAGATACTGTAGACATGAATTGCTATTATTCTGTGTGACCTTTTCAAATAATGAAAGAAAGGAATATGATGTGTTCTTTGTCCGTTTAAATGTCCTGCTCTGAGGTACTCGAATGTTCTACCGATGTACTCAGAAGTATCTCTTCCTAAATATTGTCTACTATTTTTCTCAGTGTCATATTAACCGACACTGAGAAAAATAGTAGACAATATTTAGGAAGAGATACTTTTGAGTACCTTAGTAGGACATTCGAGTACCTCAGAGCAGGACATTTAAACGGACAAAGAACACATTGTATTCCTTTCTTTCATTATAAACGATTAGAAAAAGCTTAGGGCTGGCTTTTTATATCTTATAATTTCATACTTGACACCTCAGAAACCCTCCTACCCCATATGGAGGGAAGGGGGATGATAGTAGGGTGGGGTTGACACCGACCACTAACTCAGTCTAAGAGTAACCGTGGCCGGTGACACCTACGCTACTCTGAGACATCTCTCCCTGCTTTGGTTGCTCCCTTGCAACATCGCACAGCTCCTGATGACGAACTGAGAAGTGTGAAAGTACTTGAGCTAAAGATTTCCACGTCCCGTGGCTTGTCCTGCATAGTTAAGATCGCCCGTCTGCGATTGTTTGCACACACACACACACACACACACACACATTATTGTAACCTCGAACGAGTGGTATTTAGAAAACAGCAACACTGCGGGCCAAAACGACATGGGTTCGAGTTCTTGGCTAGTCACAGTGTTGATTAAATACCACTCGTTCATGCTTACAATAATATAAAATAATGCTTGTGGAGGCTGGTACACCAAACGGGGAGTAGAATTAAATTAGCTCAGAATGAAATTATAGGTAAAACTTGCTATTTTGGCTTAAATAGCAACGCTCGTCTTGCCGAATACGGCAAGCAAAAATTTGTGCATGCAATAATTTTGCAAAAATCATTCTTTTGGTACAAAATCATTAATTTTTATATCAGCCCAAATTCAAGCAAGTATGACAATTCCTCTTTACCCTTATCTAAATATTATTCACTTATATGCTTCACTGTAAACACTAGGTACACATCCCCTACCCTTCCTAATGCTTCCTTCCTTGTTCATCTGCGATCCTGCTTTCCATCTTACTCTTAATTCTGTCAATAATAACTACCACACACCTTACCAGGTACACTCAACAGGCTTATTCCATTATAATTCTTACACTCTCTTGTTCCTTTTGCCTATATACAAAAGAATTATGGATGCTCTGCCAATCCCTAGGTACCTTCCCCTCTTTCATACATTAAATAAAAGCACCAATCATTACAAAACTATATCCTTAATTGCTTTTAACATTTATATTTTGATTCCATCAAGCCCAGCTGCTTTACCTCTTTTCATTCCACCCACAGCCACTCATACCTTCCCCACACTCATGTCTGACTCTTCCTCACTCCTAAGTGATTTTATACCTCTCTGGCCAATGCATGAAATCACAGCTTCCTTATTTTCATCAACATTTAACAGCTCCTTCCAATACCTCCAACTCCCCATCTAATAACTCTCCTTTTGTATTTTTAACTGTCAAATCCAATCGTTCCCTAGGCTTTATCAATTTATTAATCTCACTCTAAAACTTTTTTCTGCTCAGCAAAATTTTTTTACAGCATCTCACCCACTCTCTCATTTGTTCTCCTTTTACATTCTTTCACCTCTCTTTTTCTCTCCATATACTCCTCCCTCCTTATATCACTTTTACCCTGTATAAACCTCTCATATGCTAAATTACTACTCTTAATACTCTCTTTACCTCATCATTCCACCAATCGTTCTTCTTCCCTCCCGCACCCACTTTCCTGTAAATACACACTTCTACCGAACAATAAAACTGCATTTTTTAAAATCTACCTCATACCTAACCTCACTGCCCATATATATATATATATATATATATATATATATATATATATATATATATATATATATATATATATATATATAATATATGCCGATTAAGTAAAACTTGCGATTTTGGCTTAAACAGCAACGCACTTCTTGCCGAATAGGGGAAGTGCAAATTTGTGTATGCAGTAATTCCGCAAAAATCATTCTGAACCTAATGAAACCTTAGTAAAACTTACCTAACCTTATTATAACAATCGCAATTTAATTTAACCTAATCCGACAAAATATATTTTGGATAAGTGTACAATAATTTAATAATACACAAACACAATAAAATATTTTTTTCGTTAGGTTCAGAATGATTGCGAAATTATTGCATACACAAATTTTCGCTTGCCTTATTCGGAGAGAAGAGCGTTGCTATTTAAGCCAAAATAGCAAGTTTTACCTATTCAGCACGACATTACACACACACACACACACACACACACACACACACACACACACACACACACACTCACTATCTCTTGGTCCATACACAATTATACATACGTAATACTGCAAATGGTGTACGATTGAGGCAGCAATCAAGAGGTGAAGAGTATTATTTACTTAACAGATGAACGTTGTGTCAGTATTTGTGTGAACACGACTCGCTTCACACGAGGAACTCCCTGACATAACACTCATCATGCCAAGTAATTTTCAAGGAGGCGCGTGGCACGCTAAATATAATAAAAAAATATATATATATATATATATATTTTACTATATGCGACACATATGACTATTAAGTAAACTGCAGTGTCTGTTACTATGAAAAAAAAGTTAAAATAATAGTTAAATTAAGTAAGAGAGGAGCTCATATAATTAAAGTGATTAAGAACACAGGCGATACTGAGCAGTCGGTGATGACAATGAGAGCTTACGGATAGAGGTGGTGGTGAGGATAGAGGAGGGTGAACTCTAGTGGTGGTGGTTGCAGGGGTTCAGTGTTGAAATACTGCTGAATATACTGTTGGTGGTCTGCGTGTTTGACGGCAGGCACAGGGGGCTGTGGTCGTGCCACATTCAGTCCCTCCGTCAGGGGCTGATAAAACACACCGCTCGCCAGCTTGGGAGATGCTGCCGGAGGCGTCACCGGCGGGATGCTCTCGCTTAGATCCTGACTTCGCCGTTTGCTTGTCTTCCCGTCCCTGTTTCTTAACATTGCTATAAATGTTTTCTGGTAGGGCGCGGGCGTGATATTCTTCCCTTTAGGTAGCGTAGGCGGTTTTTCCCCGCGGGCTTTGCGTGCAGCATGGTCATGGTTGGTGATGGGAGCTGTAGCGTACTTCTTCTTCCTCTCCTCGAAGGTCTGGTGACCAATGTGGTGGTCGAGGTGGGACTCGGAACCGTGAAAGGAGGAGCGCCTGGGAGGGGAAGGCAGCCGGTCTCGGTGTTGTGCGTGAGGTCTCAGCTGCGCACCCTCAACACCTGGCAGGTGCTCCACACTGTTCTTCCTCCGAGTGAACATTGAAACACCTTTAGGACTTGCACGAAATAAACTCGAGTTTCACTTGCACTAACATCAGAGTACAGTATTACTTGGGCGTTAATTATTGTTGAGCACACTCCTGGCCACTATCTCTCTCATAAACTGGGCTCTTATCATTAAGCTACAACATTTTTAACAAATTTTATTTTCATTGACAATTTTACGTTATTTCAAACCTTACTCACTTCGGCATAGGTAAATTTTCCCAAATTATTAATTTGTGTAATTTGAAACCTTGAAAAACAATTCTTGGTTTAAGAGGATGAACCAGCTAAGAGGGAGTGAAGTGGAGAACGGTAGTAGATAAGCACACGCATAGTGTAGCGATCTGACATTACCGCACACTCATCACTGAGCGAGCCTCGCTCTGCACTACCACCTGTTACAGTGCCAAATTTTCCAGGGCAAGAGAGTGAGCCTGGTGGTACTGGGTGCAGGAAAAGAGAGAGGAAAAAAAGCGAGAGCGAGGGAGGGTGTGTTGAGAAGCACCAGCGTAGTGGAGACTGACGACACCGGGGCAGGCAGGCAGGAAGCATTCAGTGATAAGCTTTGCTGCTCCTACTACAATACATGCTCCTACCCACAACCCGCTTGGAATACTCTCCTTTAATACTACACCGTATCTCCCTCACCAATACCTATGGGCATACAATACCATAAACACCACTATTAGGACATATAATGACTGGCGCTCCGTGAGGGCTCAAAAAAAAAAAATTACAAGGTTAAATCTAGGAAATTCCCAATGTTACTAAGGCTTTCCATCTTAATACAGTAATTATCCTCAAAACATGACGCTACTTACAACACTGAATAAAAAAAATATAAGGAAAATGAGTCAATTCGCTGCTTGTTATATAATATGACAAATACTAAGCCGCCTTAACCTGAAAACGAAGACTATTGTGTACTCAATATTTTTAATTAGGTGTGAAATGTTGCGGTTACGGTGTGTAACTTATATCCTACAATAAATTACAGTATTTTCTTAAATATCTTCAAAAGTTAGCAGAGCTGAATGACCGCCACGAGTTTAGCACTTTCATGAACATCATAACTTCAAAGCTGCTTGCAGTGAGCCTTCCCTCACTACCACAGGAGGAAAGAGATCTTTACATACGCTACACACAACCCCTGTTACTACACCCTCAGAGTAATAGTTTTCCCAGTACACCAGCAGTGTAGTGGCTTCCTTCATACTAAATACAGTACTAACTGTTCCTAAGAGTAGAATAGTGACTCCTCAACACAAGAGCAAAAAGGTAGTAGTATCTTGGTTATACCACCATAACAGATCTTTTCCCACCACGACAGTAGTAGTAATCTCCGCTATAATGAGAAGGTAGTGATTGTGCTCACTAAACCAAGGGACGGACACTATCCCACCTGGGAAAGATGCAGTAAAGAAACAAGCACGACTGTAGAGCACCCCACTTCGCTGGAGTAATGGCTTCCCCATTCCACTCCACCAAGTAGTGGCGGGTTTCCCACTCCACCATAGTGACTCCCTCACCCTTACCACATGGTAAATATCTTCCAGAGTGGATGGGAGGTAGCATCAGTGAACCACAATACCCAGGTACAGTGACGTGAACCGACACCTTCAACACACTCTTCGTTCCACCCCATCATATCCCAACCCAGCACTCAATCATACCCCTGCTCTCCACCACCACCCCAGCCCTCCTCCACCACAACAGGCTCCACCACATCAGGCCCCACCACGGCCATCACTGCCCCTACCACCATAAGCCCACCACCCCAGCCCATCACCACAACCCCTGCCCACTACAACGACCCTTACCCCAACTCCGGCCCCTCCTCCCCCAAGCACACACAATCCGGCAGGAGTGACGCCCCAGCTGTCAGAGGCGGCACTAACCTGGTGCCTTGAAGCTGATAGAGCCACCTGTCCTAACCCGTTAAGCCGCTGTGCCTCCCACCACGGAAAACAACAATAGCTTACCTAACATCAGCAGGATAAAAGCAACACGTTATCCCTCACCAAGATTAAACAGACCACAACAAAACAATAGCAGTGTAACGAGTATATAACAGGAAAACATTATGTTTATAATGGTAGCGGCAGCAGCAGCATCACGAGATTCGACGACCTGCAACGCGGCAAAACCATGTGTTTGCACTACATAATCCACATTACAACAAAAAATATCAATTATTTTTATTATTAGGTTCATGAGGAAGAGCTACAGCCCTAAGATTCATACAGCGCTTCGGGAATGGGAGGTAATGAAGTTTTCTTAGACGTTGAGGCTAGCTCCAATTCCATTGACCAAGAACCCATCACAAGCATCAGTTACTGAAGGTATGTTCAATATTAAAACAACACATATAGCACAATATTCCACATTACAAGAAAAGCCACAATCTTGGTAACAAAAACATTACACAACAGTGACACTAAACTATCTAGATAAACTTCAATTTCGTCTACAGCAGCAACACTTAATAAGAGGTGAATGTGCCTCGTGTGATAAAAGTGTATCAGTAATGTAAATTAGCTATTATACAAGATACACTAACCAATATGTAATCATGTCCAGAATTTCCTTCCCAATCATATATCTTACGAAGTATGAGAAATTTTATCGACTGCCTCCAAAAATATCTTTCAAATATAATAAACTGGCTCTAACAATATCTTTTGAACAAAATCTGTATACTGATATTACAAACACCACTCCCGCATATCGGAGGAAGTGAGAGAGAGAAAATAAGCGACAGGAACTGACTCAATGTTAGAATATATTCAAACAGGCTCAATAACAGAGTAAATCCAAGAACAAACTAGATAGCTGAAATAAACTTACGTGACAGTTATGTACTTGACTAATTTGCTAGGTTTAAAGCCTATCGACTGTACGAGGGTCATTAGGGTTATATTTCATTTGAATATCACCAAACAAGAATGCTTTTATCCCTAAAACAGTTTTTAAAGCAGTGTGTGTGTGTGTGTGTGTGTGTGTGTGTGTGTGTGTGTGTGTGTACTCATCTAGTTGAGGTTGCAGGGGTCGAGTCCGAGCTCCTGACCCCGCCTCTTCACTAGTCGCTACTCTGTGTGTGTGTGTGTGTGTGTGTGTGTGTGTGTGTGTGTGTGTGTGTGTGTGTGTGTGTGTGTGTGTGTGTGTGTGTGTGTGTGTGTGTGTGTACATTTACATATACAAACTTCGTTACACGACTGCTGGAAACTGTAAGAAAGCAGCGTTGTGTTTTTCTTAATTTTTTAATTTTAACATTATTCAAATAACCTACAGAACCGACTTATAATACGCAATTATTATTTTTTTGTCATTTATATTCACTCGCTATTTTGTTTAGGGTAATTTATATATTTCATATTTCACACTGAACTCAAAGCAATGTACATTTCTAGTTTCAAAACGTGTAACTGCAAATATTTCCATTTTTATTGCTAAGTGAAACCAAATTCGACAGAAACATTGATTTTTGACGTAACACTGCCTAGTATCTTGGCTTTCATTTCCAAAAGAACACGTACGAATCTTTTGTAGCCTTAAACATACACAGTATCGTAATATCTTAGCACACATGTCCACCACCACCACCACCCTGGCACCTCGGCCACAAGCACACTGGACACACTAAGGCATACACCAGTTAGCCCTTCACGCTCGTTTTCTTTTGCATCAACATCGGAAACTATCACAGAAAACGCATCAGTTACAGCGTCATCTTAAACATCTCGTGATAAAGTTTAGCAAGAGCACGTAAAACTTTATTCGAATTAATCACAAAGGGTTATTACACCAGAATAACTTAAAAAAGAGAAGCAATGTAGCTTATTTCTCTTCGGTCCTCCTCAAAGATGACTCATAACAGTCGACTAAATTCAACTATCAAATTCTAGGCAAACAGGATCAGCAGGTGTGAAGAGAAACGTCAGTAAGTACTGTCTCGCCCTAGATTGATTTGCGAATCATTTGACTGTGGAGGACAACGCACTACTACTGAGCTACGAGAAACCATTAATACCAACTTATCTAATGATAAATTAATCACAAAAACTTCACCAAATTAACTGTAAATGATGCAAAGATCATATTCGTATTTTTTTTTTTTAATAAATGCGTTGTCTTTGACTAAGGGCAGCAATCACATTATTACTAGATGTCAGTGTTGTAACGGCATTGTCAAAAATAGTTTTCCTACAAACAAAGCAAGCAAATGAGAAAAAATATCCATTTTTCCCTTCATATTGCCAGTCTTCTGAACTCTGTAGCAGTAACCGTCATTTAAAAGAAAAAGGAATTGTAAAGAGACTGGTATAACTGCCCAACTATCAAAGGTTCCAGATTTTCTCCAGAACGAAGAGAGACACGTGTTAAATGAAAATAAGCTAAAATTTCCAACACAACAAAAGGCTTCAATTAATTAAAAAAAATATTTACCAATGCACAATTAAATAAAAAAAAAATCACCTCAGTAGAGGGTCCTTAAACGAGGTATGAAGTTTTCACTGACGACAACAAATGCGAAAAACAGTGAGGAAACTGTATTTGTTGCTCATTAAGCCATTATACTGTCTAAATATTAATATCCACACAAGTTTTTCGTGAATTCGACAATGAACTTTCCAAACATTTCCGAATACAAACCGTTTACATCATATTAAAGAACCCATTAATAGCATGCCCATGCACCCTGGCCTTGATTGCTGCAATTCCATATTCATCAAAATTCAAAATATTTTGGAGTGCGTCTAGACACAGGAGTCATCCAACAGGCTTTAAAAACTACTGCAGTAGACTCGCAACACATGCAGCAGTAAAAGAATCGTACAGAAGACCGATGGTACAGACGTCAATTGTGAAAACTGTTGAAGGTGCACCAAGAAAATAACACCGCGAAATACATGGAATCACATATACACAACCTGGCCAAGGAAGGTTCAGAGCAGGTTTACCCTCCTGACTCTCAACTGCTACACCATTACATGGTTTTGTATGCACTGTAAAGACAGGTAAAACGCTTAAGTAAAATACAAAGACTTTGTAAATGTATTCGGCAAGTGTAATTACGATACAATAGCAAAAATGAATAACTGAAAGCATAAACACATAGATCTTCTAACATTCTAATAAATCGTTTCCAAAAGAGTAACAGTCAAAGTCAGCGGCTGCCATTCTAATAAGATCTGATAAAGTCAGATTACTCGCCTCAAATTCTCATTCTCAAATCTGACAAACACACATTTTTGCATTATCATTCTTTGCAGACAATACTCTATAGAATTTGTATGGAACTGGCATCCATCGCGGACCTGGCACACCTCTAAGACAATGTAAACAAATTCTTAAAGTGGACCAGAACATAAATTATAACAGAAAAAAACCAAATAACTTGTAATCAAACCACAACTTAGAGCAGAAGAATGCAAGGAACCCAAGGGTGACCATGTTTAAATATCTCATGTTCAAGGAACACAACCCTGTTATCACAGTGGCATAAAAAGCGATAAGCTGAAAAAATGAAAAGTCAATGATGATACTCTAAAGACGTTTGTTCTCACAAGAGACAAATGTTCTTGCCGCTAACAGCCCTATTAAATGAAGGAGAAATTGCAGATCTGGAGAATATACACTTAACTATCACTGCCCTTGGGAAGAAGTTGTACAACCGACAACTTGAGAAAAAAATACTTTGGTACAATGGAAAACTTTATTGGGACCTTATTGTCTCTCAACAAAAGTTTCCAGTCTGCTACACTGCCCCCTTTTTTTAGCAGCCCTTATCGCTTCAGACATTATTATTATTATAATCAAAAAAGAAGCGCTAAGCCACAAGGGTTATACAGCGCTGCGTCGCTTCAGACAACCAATGAAATTATTGGGAGCGCCATTAATCACTGTACAGTATATTTAGTGCAGTTCCTCTTGGGTGTTAGTGCTCTAAGAAAGTAAGAATAAGACCCCCAAAAACCTACTTATGAAACCAGC